AGTAGGTTTAATGACCTAAATTGTATTTTATCAACTCGGCATGCTACAATATTTATTATACCTACTATTTAAAATAATTACTCTGTATACAGTACCATTAAATCTATTTAAAATCACAATTTTTTGAATATTTACATTTAGATTACACAATACTGTATATTATTGAATTGACGTAAAATTAAATTTATTTTTATTTTTAAAACTTATTATTTATTCAATCTAGTGCATTAATTTTTAATTCATTCAGTAAAATAATTTTCTGAAAAATTTTAATATCAATAAATGTAGGTAGATATTCAAAATAAATAAATTGATATGGGTATATATGGGTATAATTTATAATACAGCCCACAATGTTATAGAATATAATATAAAAATTATTATGCAAAATATTTGCTATTCATTGGTTTTTTAAAAATATAATAAAATGTACCAGTATTAAGCCAAAATTAATTTTACTTTTTATTAATTGATAACTTTTCAGACATACAGTACAAATCAAATTCATATTTCACAATCAAATTTAGGTGGGTGAATAATGTGATTTTACATACAGTCGCAAAAAAAGTATATTATTTTTGATTTTGTTTTCTTATAAATTAACTTTTATAATGGAAAATATTTCTAGCTTAAATTGGTGTTATATTTTTGACCATGTTCATTGTTTTCGAGTAACTTAATAAATCAATATTTTTAAGCAAAATTTTATATCAATTTCTACGATAAGAAACTGTAATTTTATTTATAAAATAATATTTACTTTGCTTTCTTGGTTTAACCTTTATATTTATTAATTATTTATTTACTTTTATATTAAACCTAAACATATATTTTTCGTATTTAATAAATATTAAATAAATACACCTTCCTTGTTATTTAATAATTTAACATTTATTTTAAAATACTGTACAAAATGAGTATATAAATTAAAATATTTATTATTAAATACATTCATATAAGTCTAAATTATATATTTATATAATTTATAAATTAAGTAATATAACATAAATATTAACATATATTATTTACTATATCTTTCGCAATTTGCAAATAACCTATTCATGATTACATTAGCTAGACTGTTTAGTAATATTTATGTAGATTTTATTATATTAAATATTGTCTAACATAAAGTTTATCAGACATACAGTAGTAAAAAATATACAGTATACATTAGTTTATTCAACATTAAAATGTATTTAATAATTTATTGACTACATAATAATATTTTCACTTTTTAAAGAAAATATATTAAAGCATTAAAACTTTGTATTAAATTATTTTGCAATATATAAGTAATTATTCTGTAATACAGACATCGATTTAAGTAATGTAACCTTTTAAATTATATTTTATTAATATTAAAGTAAATTGTATTTGCATGAAAACTGTCTAGTTGAATTCATTATAATTGGACTAATGTTAAGTAAGAAGTTTATTTTATTATTTTTAGTAGTTGCGAATGCACAATTTAATGTTAGTTTATTTTGTGTTTATTTTGTTTGTTTTGAGCTTGAATGTTTAATAAGCCAGTTAATGTACTTTATTATTTATATTTATGTATATAGTTATGCAATATTTAATGGTATAATTTTTATTTTAAAAACTCAATTTGATTATTCAAATTTAATATAAATTTATCATTATTGTCCCATAGGATATAGAAAATTATGTTTTTTGAATTTTTACTGTACTTTGCGAAACACATTATAATTTATTTAAAAAATGTGCATTGCGCAAATTAAAATTTATCAATTCAACAGAAACTCCTACATTATGTGAACTTAAAAGACCCACTCTATATTTATAACAATAAACAATAAAAACAAATAATAACCCACATACTTTAGTACCCACAAAATAATTCTATTATTGTATTACAATCTCATATTGAATAAGCCATGGTACATTTAAATATAAAAATTATTCGTACCTATGCGTTAAAAAGCACAGTAGTAAGTGATGATATATACTATATATTATATAGCCTTTAATAATACAGGTATTAGGCTTAAGTCTATAGCAATATTAAGTCTTATTGTAAACCCTATTAAATAAAATAGCAGAATATTCTCGTATTTGCACGTATTATGCAATCAATTACAGAATAATCTGATTTTTATTGGGAAAACATTTATTTTTTATTTAACTCACAGAATATTCTTGAGATTTCCACAACTCATTACACAATCAGATTTCCAACAAAACTGTTGCCAAAAAATAAAACTAATTTTTTTACACATAATCTCTCATTTCATGGGGACAGCCGTGTCGGTGGGCGTATCCGTGTGGACACTGGTGGTGATGTCGGTGGAGCGGTATTACGCCATCTGTCACCCCCTCAAGTCCCGGGAGTCGCGGCAAACCCTATCGCACGCCTACCGTATGATTGCGTTCGTATGGATCGGTTCGCTGATAACGATGTCGCCCATCGGTGTCGTCAGTCGCTTGCATTACATGGAAAACACCGGTAAATATCATTTATTGTGTATGTGAATGGNGGAGTCGCGGCAAACCCTATCGCACGCCTACCGTATGATTGCGTTCGTATGGATCGGTTCGCTGATAACGATGTCGCCCATCGGTGTCGTCAGTCGCTTGCATTACATGGAAAACACCGGTAAATATCATTTATTGTGTATGTGAATGGACAGTCAGCTTGAATATGCCTGACACTATACTGTGCCTCCCGGTGCATGTGTCCGAAAAATATCTATTAGTGTATTGTATGACAAAAATATATACAATAATCATGTGTTTGCGGCTATTATATGGTGTAATGTGTCGGTCGTGTGTTTATACGTGTCATAGGATTCCGTACAGAATATTCTGTTTATATTACTATAGGCCGAGGCGTATAACAGTACTTATTTAACTATATAACTGTGAACACAAATAATTATTGTATGGAGTTAGCTAGGGAAATTGTGTATTAAAGACTATAGACTATATAAATAAATAATCTAATAACGTAAGTTATATACAATGTAGACTGTTATTTACATACCATACCATTCCCGCTAATGTATTGCCATTTCATGATTGAGTGAATAAAAATAAAAGTACACAAAATCCCTATTACTTATTGACTCTCTCTCTCTCTCTCTCTCTCTCATTATAATAAAAGATATGTTGACATCAAAAAGGAAATAAATTAGTTTTGTGTTTATTTCGGACTTCTCTTATATCTTACGAATAACTCATATTATACTTTATGTTATTGTTTTATCTGAAAATATATTCTGTGTATTATTTCGCGTATCTCATTGTTTTACTCATTTGTTTGAGTTGAGAGAGAGAGAGAGAGAGAGAGTTTATTTGATGTAAAATTTAATATTTTCTTAGGTCTTAGTTATGGAGAAAATGCTTTAAAATAATAATATAAATATATATAATACAAGATTTAGTCGTATAACACTGACATTTCTACAAAAAAAAAGCATATCTATTATAGGATATAATCTCAGAAAGTATACATTAATTTACAAAATATTTCACAATATCAGTGGATAGAAAACCCTTTGAATGTGAAGTATATAGGTTTAAAGATAAAAGGTTTATTAAGTTGTACTTATGTAGCATACTCATACTTGTTATCAATACTCATAATCAATCTTTTTTAGCTTTAAACCTATATACTTCACATTCAAAGGGNCAGTCCTAATGTGAAAAAACAAAACCGTTTCTTACTGACAGACACACATATGTTAAAGCATTAAAACTTTGTATTAAATTATTTTGCACTATATATATATATATATATATATATATAATTATTCTGTAATACAGGCATCGATTTAAATAATGTAACCTTTTAAATTATATTTTATTAATATTAAAGTAAATTTTATTTGCATGAAAACTGTCTAGTTGAATTCATTATAATCGCACGAATGTTAAGTAAGAAGTTTATTTTATTATTTTTAGTAGTTGCTAATGCACAATTTAATGGTAGTTTATTTTGTTTGTTTTAAACTTCATGTTTAATAAGCCAGTTAGTGTACTTTATTATGTATATTTATGTATATAGTTATGCAATATAAGTAGTATTCATGTTTATATGTACATCTAAGAAAAATTTAAATTTAAATTTAAGTTCACCCACATGAATAAATAAGATGTAATAATATGATTTTTAATTCATTCCTGGAATTTTTAATTATTATACATTGCAAAATAGTATACTGTAAAATAAAAATTTCAAATATATTTTTGCATGATCTTGCAATGATAAAATAATCCTTATTTTAAAAACTTAATTTGATTATTAAAATATAATATAAATTTATCATTATTGTCCCTTAGGATATAGAAAATTATTTTTGTATTATTACTGTACTTTGCAAATCGTATTATAATTTATATAAAAAACATGTGCATTGCGCAAATTAAAATTTATCAATTCAACATCCTACATTATGTTAACTTAAAGACCCACTCTAAAAAACAAATAATAACCCACATACATTAGTACCCACAAAATAATTCAATTATTAGAATCTCATATTGAATAAGCCATGGTACATTTAAATATAAAAATTATTCGTACCTATGCATTAAAAAGTACTGTAGTAAGGTATTGTAGATCCTTTAATAATACAGGTATTAGTCTTAAGTCTATAGCAATATTAAGTCTTATTGTAAACCGTATTAAATAAAATAGCAGAATATTCTCGTATTTTCACGTATTATGCAATCAATTACAGAATAATCTAATTTTTATTGGGAAACCATTTATTTTTATTTAACTTACAATTCATTACACAATTAGATTACCAACAAAACTGTTGCCAAAAAATATAGCTAACTTTTTTTTGTACATAATCTCTCGTTTCATGGGGACAGCCGTGTCGGTGGGCGTATCCGTAACCTGTGACCACCACTACAGCCACCTCGCCATAATGCGGTAGACAGTGGGGGAGTTCAGGGCCCTCAGCGCCGTTTGGGATAGCGTGCGGATGGCATACTAACGCAAGCATACCTAGCCAAGCGACTTAACGATGTCGCCCATCGGTGTCGTCAGTCGCTTGCATTACATGGAAAACACCGGTAAATATAGGAGTCGCGGCAAACCCTATCGCACGCCTACCGTATGATTGCGTTCGTATGGATCGGTTCGCTGATAACGATGTCGCCCATCGGTGTCGTCAGTCGCTTGCATTACATGGAAAACACCGGTAAATATGATGTATTGTGTGTGTGAATGGACAGTCAGCTTGAATATACCCGATATTATACTATGCCTCCCGGTGCATGTGTCCGAAAAATATCCATTAGTGTATTGTATGACAAAAATATATACAATAATCATGTGTTTGCGGCTATTATATGGTGTAATGTGGCGGTCGAGTCGTGTGTTTATTCGTGTCATAGGATTCCGTACAGAATATTCTGTTTATATTACTATAGGTCGAGGTGTATAGCAGTACTTATTTAATGACATAATGATATAACTGTGAACACAAATAATTATTGTATGGAGTTAGCTAGGGCAAATGTTTATTACAGACTGTAGACTATATAAAAATATAATTTATTCATTCAATATTAATGGATTCATGTAATCAATAAGCGGTTAGAAAGTGTTAATAAACATAAATAAATAAATATTTTAATAACGTAAGTTATATACAATGTAGACTGTTATTTACATACCATACCATTCCCGCTAATGTATTGCCAGTTCATGATTGAGTGAATAAAAATAAAAGTACACAAAATCCCTATTACTTATTGACTCTCTCTCTCTCTCTCTCTCTCTCTCTCTCTCATTATAATAAAAGATTTGTTATTTGTTGTCATCAAATGTGGACATATCTGGCAAAAAGGAAATAAATTAGTTTTGTGTTTATTTCGGACTTCTCTTATATCTTACGAATAACTCATATTATACTTTATGTTATGGTTTTATCTGAGAATATATTCTGTATATTATTTCGCGTATCTCTTTGTTTTACCCATTTGTTTGAGTCGAGAGAGAGAGAGAGAGAGAGAGAGAGAGAGAGAAAGAGAGATGGCATTAGCCTCAAGTTTATTTGATGTAAAATTTAATATTTTTTTAGGTCTTAGTTATGGAGAAAATGCTTTAAAATAATAATATAAATATATATAATACAAGATTTAGTTGTAAAACACTGACATTTCCACCAAAAAAACATATCTATTATAGGATATAATCTCAGAAAATATACATTAATTTACTAAATATTTCACAATATATTTAAGTCTTAAAAATGTTATAGATAATATAAATAAATAAATAAATACAGAATATTATATATTATATGTAACAAAATTGTATATAAAATATTTAAATACGAAAATACTTTATACATAGTTAGCTAGCTAATGGTATGGGATATATAAATGCTATAATCCCTATACAGGGCATATGTGCATCAAATATATAGTGTATGTCCAATAATTTTATTACTACATTATTCATAAACTAATGGACAGGGCGATGATAAGGGCTTATCATGTCAATAGTGAACAGTTATATTTTTGTCAGATATATTCACTTGATAAGTACGTATGTACCCGATATTAATATAGTTTGTGAGTCCCAAAAGTGTATGTTAAAAATTTGTATCTGTCAAATTATTTATGGTATGATAGCATTTATGATTTTTTTGCTAAGATTTATTTTATTACTCAATAGTCACATGATTTCGAGTTTAGATAAAGTTTTAAAATATTTTTTTTGATGGAAATATTTTATGATATTTATTGTATATATAATAGCGTTTAAAACATTTTATTTAATGTATGGTCAGATAAATAATAATAATACATTAGTTTTGTATTGTATGTTAAGATTACATAGAGTTTGACAATAAGATTACAGTTTTGATTGTCCTTGCACATTATGTTTTAAAGGTATTACAAAAGATATTTTATCTAGGAATATAATATATTATATTATATTAGTCCATAGCTTTAATATTATTTTTATAACAATTTGCATATTAAATCAGTGATAAAATGTGTTTTATGACAAACATACTAATTGTAACAAATTGTAATGCAAACTTTAATAGCAAATGCATACAATAAGTATGCGTGCACTAAAAACCACCACGATACAATAAGAAGTAGTTATTATATACAAAGTGTAAAACATGTTTATTAAACACATGCATAAATTATCTAGAAAGTTATTATTAAAATTTTTAAATAATTCATACGAAACAAATAAAAACAATATAATGCGATAAAAATATATTTTACTTTGATAATGAATTATTTGTACATAAAATCTAAAACTTATGCAATTTATAACCTTTCCCAATGTTAATATTGTAGCCGTGCCTAAACACGACATACCCTGCCCTTACAATACTATATTATATAATCTACTCGTATGTATGATAAATACATATAACAAACACAAAGCTAATAAAGAATTTAATCCAAACACCGAGTGATAAATCACAGAATTCTCTATTAATCACCAGAATATTGCTGAAACATAGAGAATATTCTGTGTATTATATTCTGTACAAATAAGGAAAAAAAAGTAAAATTAATTTTGTAATACTTTATTACAAAGTAGTGTATAAATTGTTTGACTAATACAGTACTGTACTGTATATTTAATACATGGATACATGGACTATGGTATGGTATGGCCTAATAAATTAATTGTAACATTTTTATGCGATAAGTATTGAACCACTAAAAAACAAAAAAGTTATATTAATAGTCATAAACCTATTTATTATAGTTAAAATATTGCCCATAAAAATTGTTGAACAAATTCTTGATAAGATTCTTTACAGAATATTCTGTAGAAATATATTTTTATTGGAAATTAATATAATATTTTAAAATAATTTATGACAAAAACAAAATATTTTATTAATATGCTTACAATATCAGAAACTTTACATTTTAAGTAAACATATAATTATTTATACGTTTAAAGTGATTTTAATTTTAAATGAAATATTTTTAATAAAAATTTATATTCATTATTAAATATTTTCAAATATTTTATTTCCGTACTTCTAATAAATCCGCTAAATTAACCATTGCCAATTAAATAATTTTATAATATTGAATTTAATACATAAGTATTTATCATAATGGACTAGGCTTATCTATTGTATAGCTCAGGTATGTAATAATGAATATAATGATAATTAATAATGTAATAGCATTAAGCAGCATACAGAATATTCTGTGCTTTTCATAAGCATTTATTAATTATACCAGAATTAATAATTATTTTAAACACAAAACATGTATGCGCTATGAGATAACTGTCCACACCGGTTGGTTATTACAAATGTTAATATCATAGGTAAAGCTATTAATTATGTGGGAACTGTACCTATCATTGCCTAACAAATACAGTACTAATAATACACACATACATAACAAAGTCATTAATAATTAATATTTATGACAATAAAAGTTATAAATAAACTTTATATTACTATAAACTTAATAAACATTTCTATAATTGTATTGTTTTTTTGGTGGCACCGGTAGGCAAATACAAGTGTCGCGAGTCGTGGCCATCGGACATGTGTTTCGAGGCGTTTACCCTATTCCTGGACGTCGTCCTATTGATCGTGCCGTTGATTATCATGTCGTTGACGTACACTATGATAGCCCTGACACTCAAGAATAATCTGAGAACTTATTCGCATGGAGTTAATGGTGAGTAGAAAAAGACAATAAAAAATAACTAGATCATTTATTTCAGAGAGAGAGAGAGAGAGAGAGAGAGAGAGAGAGAGTATAGTTTATAAATTTTTAGGCTATTTTGAAGTAAGAATAAGGGAATAATAAACGTATAAAAATTTAATTACTTGGTCATTTATTAAGTATATTTTGAATTATAGTTTGTTATGACAATCTATCTGAATTAATGAGTTTGTCCAGGAATAAATTTCTATATTATTTATAAGTGATTACTTAGTTATTACTTATTGTTAGTTGGATATCTCTGTATTAAGCACATAACCCACCTCGAGCATATATCATTTCTATTCCGGTTAAAATATTATAATAGACTAGAACATTATCATAGTCTAATGTTGAATTTAAGTAACTTGGATTTTGTATTTATAGTGCAGCATTAAAATCTAATGTCTTGACAATATTATTAGTGGGTGCGGGTCTATTGACCTAAAAACCAATTGACCTAAACTTAAATAACTTAATGACCAGTGTAAAATGTTCCCCTTGACCTAACCTAACCTTACCT